TCGTTCTTGAAGACTTCGTAGGAGTTGGTCATGATGGCCACCACATCCTGGTACAGGCCCATCAGTTTCTGCTGCACGGCCACCCGGTGCTCCCTCTGGTCCTCCTCGAACTCCAGGTCCCTGTACACCCGTTTGCCGCTGATGCGCACCAGCAGCGTCTCGGATATTTCTTGGGCTCGCCAGCCGATGGTCAGAGTGGAGGCCTTGAAGTCATTCACGATGGTCTGCACCTGTGGGCAGGCCACACCCGTGGGGGAGAGACCCACGAGACCCTCCCCGCTTAGCCCGAGCCCCCCCACCTGTCCTCTGGCTAGAGTGGCTGATGTGAAAAACAAAAACAAAAACAAGAACAAAGGACAAGTCCTTCCCTAAGCACGCTTTGCCTCTAAGCACACACACCTCTCTCTGTCTCTCCGCCACCACCCGAGACTCGGGCCCTGATGATTCACGCAGCGGCCTCTGGGTCAGCCTCGCAGACCCTCCGAGTCTCAGGACCATGACCCACCTTGCTGGCATGGATACGGCACTCCGTGATGAAGAAGGCGCTGGCCCCCTTCAAGGCCCAATGCAGTTTCTTGAGTCCAGGGCGGATCTTCTTATCCAGAAATCGGATACGTTCTTTGAAGAGGGCCTGCTCATCTGGGGACAGCACGGCGATGATCCTGTGTGCGAGGGAAGGCTGGCAGCCGGCCGGACACACGCTGCAGACCCCTCCCCCACACCAGGACACTCGGTGGAGAAATCTGAAAGTTCGCGAGCTGGGCTGTGTTTTCCAATAAAACTCTTGGCGATAATGGAAACCCTTCTACAGTTTGTGCTGTCCGGCAGGGTCACCACTAACAACATGTGGCGGTGGGGCACTTGACATGTGGCCTATGCGAGTGAACAGCTCAATTTAAAATTCTTATTTAATTCCAACTAATTAATTAAAATAGAAAGAGGGGCGCCTGGGTGGCTCGGTCGGTTAAGCGTCCAACATCAGCTCAGGTCATGATCTCACGGTTTGC